TCGACGTTTGTAGACTGACCTGGCTTTGCCCTTCAAATGTTACAAGTTGCCGGTCTTGGCTAGATGTTTTGATGGAATGCACAAGTCAGAATCATGGTAATGATTTGCCACCAAGGCTTCAAACGAACGTGAATATTGAGCAATTCAGTAAAGTCCGGCTTTTGGCTTTGTAGAGGGCAACTGCCTGTCAAAAGTATGCATAAAACCACAATCCCCCTGTTTGAATCGACTCACTTGGTGATGTTGAGGTCTTCTTTGTTCTCTTTGTACATGCACAACGGTCATTCAGCAGGGTTGTCTTGCAGCCAATGCATGAGTGATGATTGATTGAATGGAGCGGCAGCACCATCTAAAACAAAGTTGCCAGTATCCTTTTCTGCCTCAAGGGCTTCACTATCGCCAATCCCGGCAAGCTGGCGTTCAAGTTGTTTTCCTCGAGACCTTGAAAACGGTTGTTGCCTGTTGGCTTCCCAAATTTGTGGGCACCAAGGTTTTCCAGCGCTCCGAATCACCTACCCGGAAAAAGAAAAACGTCATGAGGGTCGCCAGGCCCGGCTTTGCTCGCTGGAGGCGGGGCCTGGGGGCAGGTGAACACGGAACCGACAGAAACCATACGTATGCTGATGTCTTCTTGTGGGGAGCCCCCCCCCAAACAGAAAAAGTATAAAATAAAGAACCGCATGATAAACATACGTGTTTTCTTTTCGGTTTCATTTTCAGCCAGCCCCTCAAAGGGGCGTTTAAGCTTGTTGGGAGGTTCATCTTAGCGGTACCCCTCCTCCAACAATCATGGACGCCGACAGGGTGTTGGAAGACGAGCTTGCTTTTGGGGAACTCCCCCTGTCCACTTCCATGATTGTTGGACAGCGGGTACCAAAAAGTCAGCGGGCTAGCGTTCTAGGGTTTAGGGTTTTGTCTTTGAAGGGGTATAGGGTTGGTAGACAAAAGGAGAGATTTGCTTTGGATCGGCAATTTTTGCCTTCGCTGAGGTAGAAGTTCGCGAGCTGGCAGCGTCAGCGGTAGCCTTGGTGAGGTGACAGCTTTCTCGAAGTAGACTTGAGCCCAAATATCGTTAAATCCTTTTGGGCTTCCCTGAGGGTGCTGGGTATTCAAAAAATGGAACGACTTGTTGTGTCCAGAAAATGGAACTGAGAAGGTAAGGTGCGTCTTTTGTGAGGGAACCTGTTATGGAGTTTGGCGAAAACACCCATTCAAGGCTTCCACACAGTGAGGTGCAACGTAGTGAACTACGTATGTCGGAAAAGGTTCCACCGTTCCACCCTTTCACCGAGCCCAATTTTGCCCCAAAACCCTTCAAAGCTGGTTTGGAGCATCACGGCTCGTACTTGAGCTTCTTTACCTGGACAGACATCCCACTTCGATCGAGCAACAGGTGATTCCACTTCCTGCTGGCGCAAGCCCATGTGCGCCCATGTGAACCAACTGGGCTCCAAAAGAACAGCTGGGACAAGACAGTTGGCACAGAACCGTTCTCAACGTCCTTGCATGCAACTGGTGTTTGACATGGTTGCCGGCTGTGTTCACCTTTGCTCCTCTGCCGGCACGTGCACATACACTCGCACACACTGCACACAAAATGCGTGTGTGTGTGTGAAGGTTAGCACGGGCTGGCACCGTACATGTTGAACAGTTCCTCTTTCCACCCCCCTAGTTTTTCTTGACTCCTCCGATTCCCAATTTGTATCAAAAAAGATTTGCTCTTCCGACGCATTTGCAGGGCAAGGTAGATGCTTTAGCTTCCAGTCCCCCTATGGACGCTCTGGGTGTGCTGGCAGATGCCACCTATAGCGACGGGGGGTCAGTGATTGAGTCCTTGCTGTGGCAGCAAAGGCTGGGCTCAAAGAGGTCAAACGGAGACTGAAGTTCTTCCGCCCGCTTTGGGATGCCTGCCCTCCCCTCCAATCATGGAAGCTGAGAGGGTTTTGGAGGACTTCTTTTGTGTTGGTCAACCCCCCTGCCACTTCTATGATTGTTGGCAAGAAGGTCTGGATGAATTTTAAATCAAGGGCCACCCTTCAAAGTGTTTGGTGGACATGAACCGTAAACCCCCATGTAGATGATGCCCACTGAAGGGTTCTGGATTGGAGCGACTTGCAACCGGTGTGGCAATGCTGCCGAACAACAATGCAATCAGCAATTGGCTTGACGGAATAGTGGATCAGGCAAGCGTCATGACAATGATATGCCAGTTTGGCTATATCAAGGAAGTGGCAAGAGGAGACGTAGCCGTGCGTGTGTGTGAGTGTATGGTTGAGCCAACCCCCAAAAGGGCGCACGTACACGTACCCACACACACATGTGGCATCTCATGGCCATCCCATTTGCCTAAAGCCAGGAAAGGGGTCCGCTGCGTGGCTCACCGCTTTGGAGTCGAAAAGAAGGCCGTTTTCCTGGGAAAAGACGGCAAGCTCTACTCGATCGGCTTGGAGGCGATTTGGCTGTTATTCGTGCAGGGGGTGAGGCAAGATGGGCAGGGTGTCATTAAGCAAAGCTGGAAGTGTGGGCGTGCAGGAGTCGTACAGAACGCTGCTCCTCTAAGCTGCGGGCTTTTCGTCACTGAAGCAACCATTCAGTCGGTCATGCAAGAAAGGCTTGTAGCACTGAGCTGGCCTTGCAGAAACATACTTGCATCGCCTCTTCGTGTGATGGTGTTGGGCAAAGAAAGAGTTTGGACGTGTCAGTCAAGTCCGCACCCACGAGCACGTTGATGACTAGCCAAAAAAGAGTCTTAGCCAGCCCTCTTTGATTGGTGGATAGCTGGGTGCACAGAATTGAGCATCATGTTGATTTGGTTTTGGGCTGGAGTTCTTGAACGGACTCTCCACATGGAATGAATGAACGCTCCCAGGGAGTGCTTCTTTGCAAGAAACGGGCATGGCCTTGTCGCAAGCAACAGCAAACGAACAGGTTTAGCAGTTCCTGTCAATTTGAATTTGGGTTATTCGACAAGTTTCTCGGATTGTGAATGGTTGAAGGCCAGAAGAGTGAGCTGCATAGTTTGCTTTTACAATTTCCTGACCAGCCTTTGCATGTGCTTATTTTCAGTACCAGAGGTTTGCTATTCTGCCTAGTTGGCTTTATCCTGCAGTCAGAAGCGTAGTTGCCTGGCATGTAAATGCATCATCCTTAATCCTTGTTCCAGAGAGACTGGCTTCCCTCATAGTGGTGTCCCTTACAGGCCATCACGGATCGGGAATCTACTTTGAAACCCATTTCAAGCAGAGATCCGCAGGAAGGAGAGGAGCATCCCAAGGAGGTCTACCTTGGCACGATACCCTGGAAGCTGGAAGCAGACAATAAGGAGAATGCAGGTTCTCCCAAGAAACCCCTCCAGAAACACCCCTAGCTGCCGTTTGGCTTCCTTGCATAAAACAGTCAGAGAGGTCCCGATTTGTTTGAGAAACACGCATCTGGGAGCCTGTGAAGCCGTTCCTGGTGGTCCGGATTGGTGGTTCTGTTTAACAAGGACCCTGGCGCAGCATTAGCTTCGAGTCATTGGGTTCCCGGATCTCATGTCAATTCAGTTGACATTTGAAGGTTCACTAAATGCCGACCAAGCGCAATTTTTGGCTGGGGCAAAAGCTGAGGTAAAAACCATTCACCTCAGGGCCGACATAGATGTCATATCGTTGCTATACTACGCTATGCTGGGTAAACAGAGGGGAAGGGGTTGTTTGCCAATCCGCGGTTGACTAACACCCCTTCAATGGCATAGTTGAGGCACAACTTCAATCGCAGATAGAATTGCCTGTCGGAAATTGTCAAGAAATGAGATCCTCAGAATATTTGATGTGCGCCCGGCCACTTTAAAATAACTGCAGGGCAAACGATGATGTGACGGTGGCCCAGAAGGACACAAGCCCTTCGTTTTCGCCACATGAAAAGCTATGCTGAAGTCCAACACATTTGTTGTGGCAAATGCTGTCGCAGGGGCAGCTGTCACAGGATGAAGCGACAGGCTGAGAGCCAAGGACCGCAACTACACTTGTTGCCCTTGTTGGGAAGTCCAGATTCATTTTGTGCTAATCATTCGACTTCTCATGATTATTCTAGTTATTTTTTGATTTATTCCCAAAGGGACGGGTGCCTCCTGAGGGAAATCCAGACTCACTGTTCTTCCAATTGTTCTAACTGGTCTAATAATTCAATATATTCAAAATGGGTTGGGTGTGTTTTTTGGATTTCCAGGCTATGATCTTTTGATTTTTGATTTTGCTAATTATTCGCAAAGGGGCGCGTGCCTTTTGGGAAAGTCGCAATTCATTTTGCTAGTTGGTCTATATATTCTAAGCAGTCGAATTAAGTAGAATAGTTAGAATACAATTCCCTATTGGAGCGGTTCTAATTAAGTTATTCTAATCATATTCCCCAAAGGAGGGATTCCCTTTGGAGAATTCCAGATTCATCTTTCAAATTATTCTAAGCACGTATTCCGTATTCCCCAAAGGGACGGGTGCCTGTTGGAGGAATTCCCAATTCATTGATTCCCAATCAGTCGTGAGGGGCAAGCGGAGGCTGCTTTCATTTTCCATGGCCAGTTTAAGACTTGTGAGCCAATGTTTGAACCTTCGAGGCTCCTCTGACCTCTCCAAAATCTGTCCACATGGGTGACCCACTGATAGCATAATTTCTTCCTGGTACTGTCCACAGCAAGTGTTTGTTTCTGGGTACTGATGTTTGAACCTTCGAGGCTCCTCTGACCCCTCCAAAATCTGTCCACATGGGTGACCCACTGATGCTTGTTTCTGGGTACTAAGCATTGCCTACCTGTTTTTTGCTTTTCAGGTGAGGGAATGTGTTTTGTTATTGTTTGGTGTATTGACTCCCCTTTTATTAGTCGCCACCCAAGCTAGTCGTTTCTTAATTTTCCCAAGCTTTGGACCGGCATGGGCATTGGCCGGCTTATCCTGACAGGAGGACGTCACGGGGGTGCAGGTTACCGGTACCAAAGATGCAGACTCTCGGCTGATTGGCAGAAGCTTCTCTTGTTTCGCCTCGACTCAGATTGGGCGCAATTGAGTTCATGTCTGCCGGAGCGAATGATCTGCTTCTGGAGCTAAGAAGATATTTTCTAGCTGTGTAATCCGGCGATAAATCATGTTGTCGCATTGCTTCTGTACATGGCGGCAAGGGACCTAAGACCCGCTGGGATATGTGGGAGTGTTGAAATCAGCAACCCCCTTGGAAATAGTCTCCAGAATAATCAAGGTCAAACTGTCATTGTTTGAGTGTTGCCCTGCTGTTCTGATATCTTGTTGCAAAGTGAGGTTTACTCGAAGTGATGATACCCTTGCAGGCCAGTGACATTTGATGCCCTTCCCGTGGTCCACTTTCGGTGAAGACCAGATTAGTCGTCAAAAAGCCCGGGGGCTTTTTCTGACCAATCCACTCCAGTAAAGGATGTGAAGGACGTGTGTGCTGACCCTGTTGCTTTGGCCAAGGCGTTGGTGTTGAACCACTTGCTGGAGCTCTATTCGACGCCCAACTCTCACGCGCCCATGACCCGACTGCTGGCGGACAAGAAGGCGTCGGCGAATTTGCCCTTCGGGTGTCCTTTTTCGAGAGCACCTTGAAAGAGGTTTTTGGAACCAGCTTGAAAGAGGTGTTCACAGGCAGGGATCCGGGGTTCTTTTGCTTGCAACTGGGGAAGGATGAGATGCAGCGCAGGTTACATGCAATACTCCCAAAAAGAGCATCACGATTATCACGATTCGGTGGGCTCTTTTGATGTTGTTTGGTCATTCCACCCAGGAAGTGTGTAGAGTAACCCCAAGAGGCTGCCAAGAGGGTTTCTCAAAGTAGGGGACCCTCAAAATGGGCTGTTTCATTTCAGTTTCCCTTTATAAGAAACCAGCCAAAACACCGGATCCACCATTTCAAGAACCCCCCTAGAGGGTACCCCCAAAGGCAATCACTCCCAGCGAAACGCGGGAGAAAACTGTCACGATGAGGTGATCCAAGTGGCGTGCAGCGACAACCACTACCTCGTCTTGACCGCAGAGGGTCAAGTCCAAAGCTGCGGCGCCAACCAGTTTGGCCAGTCTGGGGCCCAGTCCACCAAGAATGTGGCGGCGCCCAATTCCGGTCTATGAACCAGCTTATATGGAACCCGCCAGAAGTGTTGCCCTTGCCATACGAAATGCATGCACAAAGATGCACTTGTGGGGGCTGAAGCAAGCCAAACCAGCCATACAGAGGGCCGACTCTTGTGGAGACTTGGAGACGAAGACACGGATCGTTCCCCCCCTCCCAGGCCCAAGCCAATGCAATTGACAATTGTCATTTCTCATATGAGTCAACATAATTCCGTATGTTCTCGCTAGACAAATCCTCTCAACGGAGAACTCGCAAGTGTCTACGGAACTTTAACTAGACCACGGTTGGCCCGAAAGCATAACATCGCAAGCGAGGTCGGCCCAACGCTGCAGGATGCGTTCTTTTTTCCTACACGAAGCATTCGTGAAGCAAGGCGCAAGTTGCTCTGCGCAAGTTGCTCTGCGCAAGTTGCTCTGTGCCAGTTGCTCTGCGCAAACTGGTCTGTACAAGTTGGTCTGCGCAAGTTGCTTTGCGCAAGTTGCTCTGTGCAAGTTGCTCTGTGCAAGTTGCTCCGCGCAAGTTGCTCCGTGCAAGTTGGTCCCTGCAAGTTGCTCTGTGCAAATTGCTCCGTGCAAGTGGCTCCCTGCAAGTTGCTCTGTGCAAGCTGCTCTGTGCAAGTTGCTCTGTGCAAGTTACTCTGCGTAAGTTGCTCTGCGCAAGTTGCTCTGTGCAAGTTGCTTTGTGCAAGTTGCTCTGCGCACGCTGCTCCGCGCAAGTTGCTCCGTGCAAGTTGGTCCCTGCAAGTGGCTCCCTGCAAGTTGCTCTGTGCAAATTGCTCCGTGCAAGTGGCTCCCTGCAAGTTGCTCTGTGCAAGCTGCTCTGTGCAAGTTGCTCTGTGCAAGTTACTCTGCGTAAGTTGCTCTGCGCAAGTTGCTCTGTGCAAGTTGCTTTGTGCAAGTTGCTCTGTGCAAGAAGCTCTGTGCAACTGACTCTGTGCAATTGTCTCTGTACAAGTTGCTGCGTGCAAGTTGTTCTGTGCAAGTTGCTCTGCGCAAGTTGCTCTGTGCAAGCTGCTCTGTGCAAGTTGTTCTGTGCAAGTTGCTCTGCGTAAGTTGCTCTGTGCAAGTTGCTCTGGGCAAGGTGCTCTGCGCAAACTGGTCTGTGCAAGTTGCTCTGCGCAAGTTGCTCTGCGCAAAATGGTTTTCGCAACTTGCTCTGCGCAAGTTGCTCTGCTCAAGTTGCTCTATGCAAGTTGCTCCGTGCAGCTTGCGAAGCCCGCCCGCGGACCAGGGGGGAATCGAACCCGCGATCCGCCGGTCCCGGGAGCAGGCGCGCGAAACACGAGACAACTCAGGAGGACCAGTTCGAACAACAAAAGTCGCAAAAAACCTCGAGTTTTTGCACCTCGACCACGCCAATCCCCGCAGAGGGTCCAAATGAAGGGACACCCCCTATTCATCAATCAGGGGCGTATTGATCTGAGGTCAACGTTTGGGCTGCTGCTGTTGTCATGATCATTCTTTTCCAGAAAGCATGGCAAAGGGTTCTTCCGCTGGGTTCACTTGAGTTGTTCTCATGAGGGTCATTACAAGGTGTCATTGCAAGGAATCATCATCATGAAAGTCATTGCACGGAGTCATTGCACGGAGTCATTGCAAGGAGTCATTGCAAGGAATCATCATCATGAAAGTCATTGCAAGGAGTCATTGCAAGGAGTAGGAGTCATTGCAAGGAGTCATGGTAAGGAGTCATTGCAAGGAGTCATGGCAAGGAGTCATGGCAAGGAGTCATCGCAAGGAGTTGCAAGGAGCCAAGTGCATGGAGCCAAGTGCAAGTTGCAAGTGCACGGAGTTAAGTGCAAGTTGCAACTACAAGGAGCCAAGTGCAAGGAGCCAAGTGCAAGGAGCCAAGTGCATGGAGTCAAGTGCAAGTTGCAAGTGCAAGGAGTTAAGTGCAAGTTGCAAGTGCAAGGAGTCAAGTGCAAGTTGCAAGTGCAAGGAGTCAAGTGCAAGTGGCAAGCGCAAGGAGTCAAGTGCAAGTTGCAAGTGCAAGGAGTCAAGTGCAAGTTGCAAGTGCAAGGAGTCAAGTGCAATTGACTTGCGAGGAGTTAAAATCTCTTCTCAGGGCGGCGGGGTAGTGCCGACGACACTGTACGAAAATCGACCCTCTGCGGGGATTGGCGTGGTCGAGCTGCAAAAACTCGTGGTTTGTTGCGATGTTTAACATGCTCGCGCGACCCTCTGCGGGGATCGGCGTGGTCGAGGTGCAAAAAGTCAAGGTTTTTTGCGATTTTGTTTTGGCCCGCGCGACCCTCCGCGGGGATCGGCGTGGTCGAGGTGAAGTCCGTGGCTGAAACCAGAACATTTGTTGTTATTCACAGGGGAAGCCAACCATTCCAGGGATTCTGAATGGTGCTGGATTCCGTGCATCCACAGTATTCAGGAGGGTGGGGCGCGCGAGCACCGCAGAAATCGCAAAAAAAACTCGAGTTTTTGCACCTCGACCACACCGATCGCAGAAATCGCAAAAACCGCGAGTTTTTGCATTTCGTGGCGCGAAATGGATTGCGCATCCACAGTACCGGCCCGACCTGGGGCCGGGGTTGCCGACTCACCGTCGGTGAGGCTTGGGCTGGGCCACCAGAATAACATTGCGGAGCCCTGGCCGGTGGAGATCAAGCAGGAGAAGCGTTTCAAAGCCGCGGGTCTGTGTGTTGAGTTTGGATCTGGCAGAGCCAACCGCTTGGCTTCAATGTAAGATTTTCCTTGTGTTTTTTCTCTGTGAGGTCGCCGAAAGATGTGGGGCTGTTGCTCTTATGTCACATGTTGACCAACCTTGAGTTTGAGGGACCAAATGAGCAACTGATGCTTGGTTTTGGCAGAGGTTTGCGAAAGCAGGAGGGAGTTAGTGTCGCATGGAGTTGCAGAGCCTGGCATGGTCCAGATGTTTTTTTTGCTTTTTGACGTTTCATTTTGAAGGGCGCAGATATGATCCTGGAGCCAGCTCGTGTCAAGTGAGCTCCATCCACATAGGCAGAAGAGCAAAAACTTGGCTCAAGTTCACTTTCCACACCCTCCGCAAATCAACATATAATCCCACGAGGAGAATCCTAAAAAGGATGTCGTTGTCAATGTTCGTTTGTAGAACCCAAAAAAGCGGGCCCCCAAGAGGGGATTCCTCTGAACTCGATGGTTTCGGGGGGTTCCATTCTGGGGCAGGAGACGGGGAATCGCTTCGCCACCTACGTGGCCTGCGGCAGCAACCACTCCCTGGTGGTTTGTGAGCAGGACCCCGAAGCGCAGATGCCATGATGCGCAGATGCCTTTTCTGAGGGCGACTTTTGGGGTGCAAAAATGGTGCTTTATTGTGTTTTAATTTTATTCCCGAAAGCATGGCGAAGGGTTCTTCCGCTGGGTTCACTTGAGTTGTTCTCATGAGAGTCAATACAAGGTGTCATTGCAAGGAATCATCATCATGAAAGTCATTGCACGGAGTCATTGCAAGGAGTCATTGCAAGGAATCATCATCATGAAAGTCATTGCAAGGAGTCATTGCAAGGAGTAGGAGTCATTGCAAGGAGTCATGGTAAGGAGTCATTGCAAGGAGTCATGGCAAGGAGTCATGGCAAGGAGTCATTGCAAGGAGTTGCAAGGAGCCAAGTGCATGGAGCCAAGTGCAAGTTGCAAGTGCACGGAGTTAAGTGCAAGTTGCAACTACAAGGAGCCAAGTGCAAGGAGCCAAGTGCAAGGAGCCAAGTGCATGGAGTCAAGTGCAAGTTGCAAGTGCGTGGAGTCAAGTGCAAGTTGCTAATGCAAGGAGTCAAGTGCAAGTTGCAAGTGCAAGGAGTGCATGGAGCCAAGTGCACTTAAGTTGCAAGTGCAAGGAGTCAAGCGCAAGTTGCAAGTGCAAGGAGCCAAGTGCAATTGACTTGCGGGGAGTTAAGATCGGCGGGGTAGTGCCGACGACACTACACGAAAATCGACCCTCTGCGGGGATCGGCGTGGTCGAGGTGCAAAAACTCGAGGTTTTTTGCGATGTTTAACATGCTCGCGCGACCCTCTGCGGGGATCCGCGTGGTCGAGGTGCAAAAACTCGAGGGCGATTTCTGCGGTTCTCGGAAAACCCTCTGCGGGAATCGGCGTGGTTCGAGGTGTGAAAACTCGAGGTTTTTTGCGACTTTTGTTGTTCGAACTGGTCCTCGGGAGTTGTCTCGTGGTTCGCGCGCCTGCTCCCAGGACCGGCGGGTCGCGGGTTCGATTCCTCCCTGGTCCGCGGGCGGGCGTCGCAAGATGCAACTTGCATAAAGCAACTTGCGCAGAGCAACTTGCGCAGAGCAAGCACAAGCTTGCACAGAGCAACTTGCGCAGAGACCAGTTTGCGCAGAGCGCCTTGCCTAGAGCAACTTGCGCAGAGCAACTTACGCAGAGCAACTTGCACAGAGCAACTTGCACAGAGCAGCTTGCACAGAGCAACTTGCAGGGAGCAACTTGCACGGAGCAATTTGCACAGAGCAACTTGCAGGGAGCCACTTGCAGGGACCAACTTGCACGGAGCAACTTGCGCGGAGCAACTTGCGCCGAGCAACTTGCACAGTGCAACTTGCGTAGAGCAACTTGCGCAGACCAACTTGCACCGACCAGTTTGCGCAGAGCACCTTGCCTGGTGCTGTCTCGCGCTTGCTTCACGAATGCTTCGTGTAGGGAAAAAGAACGCATCCTGCAGCGTTGGGCCGACCTCGCTTGCGATGTTATGCTTTCGGGCCAACCGTGGTCTAGTTTTTTTTGATTTTTTTTCGGGGGGGGGGCTGCAACACCGAGTCCGAATCCCTGTTTTTGCTGTTTGTGCACATTGTGACATTGGTCTGTGTAAACCAGAAACATTGGTCCATGTTGAGTCCATGTTGAAAGGAAGCCGGCATCAAACAAGCAGTTTGAGGGTCGTCCAGTCCCCAGTATTATCGAAAATGCCACCTGGGCCACCCCTTGCATTGTTTGCATCGTCGCAATCATGAGCTATGCGCTTCCTGTCCGCGAAGAGCACTAATTTAGGACTGCTTTTTTCAGGGGTTCGTGCAGTTTTCAAGGGCGCGCTCGATACATCATGGCGCGATCATGGCGCGACTATTCCGCTTTCTTTCAAGTTGTGAGTCTCGCCGAAGTTTGATCATATGAATCGTTGTGTTCTCGATGGTCAATCTCTTCATGATCTCACGGCACAAGCTTGGACCGATTTATAGTAGGCTTTGAGGTAGATACCGTAGTCTTGCGTTTATTAGAGTGAGTGAGTCGGCGCTGAAATGCGTGAGCTGGTTTCCAGGCGGAGGGTGGGTGCATGTCTGGCTTCAAGGTCTCGAGGTGGCACCAGAAGGTGTTTTTTCAACAGAATCCCTTATTTAACCCTTAATTAACATGGCTTTCTAAGGGCTTATTAAGGCCTAAATAAGGATGTTGCTCAAACACCTTCTACTGCATTGCATCCTCAGACGGGACAAAACTGGCCGAAAAGCGCCAGCAATAAATAAGCCCTTAGTAGGCCCTTAAATAAGCCCATATGTGCGCAACAAGAAAAAATGTGCAAAAATGGTACGATGCTTGTTTGAGGCAGTCGGTTTTGGAGACATTTTTGAGGGGCGAGCCCTGCGGGAGCCCTTATGTTTTTTGGGGGCTCACTTGCCTACCAACTTGAATCAGCAAGTGCATTCTCCTACAGGCTGGGCCAAACTTTCGGAGTCCAGGAGGTGGCGTTCGCGTTTGGGCGGAATGACACGGCCCAGTGCGGGGCGGGGGGGCATCCTTTGCTGAAGCCGGCATTGGTGCGTCTGCCCCAGAACCAGAACTCCGCCCATGACACTCAGGCGGTCGAAGGGTGAATGGGGTGGACGCCCATTGAGGTTGGTTTGTGGGTTCGCCTGTTGGATCTGGAATCCCGTTGAAGCTTAACTCTTGCTGATTTGCGGGTTTATCTGTGTTGCTACTTTCGAGGCAAGAGGAAGCAGAGAAACGATTCTTAAGCTGATTTGGTCTGGGATGGTTTGTCACAGGGGGAGTTGCCCCCCAATCGATACATGCGCCATACCGTCTTATGTTGGGTTGGTAGGCACCCCTGCAAGGCTTCGTATACGAGGGCGCCATTGAGGTCAGGTGCTTTGCGACAGGAGCATTCTTCGGCAATTAAACGGTGCGCCTCGCGACAGGTGCTGAAGGTCGCCTGCGGCAATTTCCATTCACTCTTCTTGACGCCTGCAGGACTGCTGCGGCATGCCCGCAAACCTGTGCACACGTTTTAGCCAACACAAAGACCCGCCCCGTTGCCAGAGCCATATGTGGTTGGTGTGGAAATATTGCAGCGCTACCGCGGCTTGTTTCGCAGGCAAGCCTTCCACGCCGAAAAGCCATCCCTTGACAGTGTGAACCGGTTCATTTTGATCGAAGGACAGACGTCAAGAATGTGGAATCAGGTTATGGGAGCCTTGTGCTGATCTGGCAAACATGATTTGTGGCTGCAAGCTGAAGCCACTGCCCAAACCTCAGGTTGCTGGGGACACTGTTTGTGCGCTTTGGATCAGCACCGTGCTTTCCCAGCAAACAGGCTTTACTGCAATGAAACATGGATTACCTTGCGCGAATGGCATCTCCCGATAATACCACGGATGCCCTCAATATTGTAAGTGAACCAACCACACTCAAGGAATCTTGGAAGGAGGGTACTGCAGAAATTATCGGATGGCCATTTGACTGGGAAGCAAAAAGTTGCCTTGTTCTGACTCCTCGCAAGGGGTGACCACGGTTGCGGAGGACTGTTTGGTTGCGGCAACGGCCAGAAAGGCCAGGCGGTTGATTTCTGGCACCATTGTGATGAGCTCCTAGAAGACAAAGACACCCATGCTGTTGTGCTTTTCACGCTGGACTTGCGGCTGAGTGGATCTCAATATCCGTTTTCTTTTTGTTTGGGTTCTCCGTTTTCATGGTCCCATGAAAACTTCCCTTCTAATCTACGACTCAACTGGAAGTGGGTGGTAGCCTTTGTTTGGTTGGTTTTAAAAGAAGGCCAAAAAGGAAACCACCTGTTTGGAGGGTACCCCCGTTCAGACAAACCCAGCCAGGCCAACTCGGGAAGAATTTACGATCGAATCACCACGTCGCGAAGCTGACGCTTCCAAACCAAGTGGGCAAGCTCACCGACGTGTTCTCTCACGCGGAGCTGTGTGTTTCCTTCACGAATTGCTCGAAGTTTGTTTGTTTGTTTGTTTGTTTGTTTGTTTGTTTGTTTGTTTGTTTGTTTGTTTGCGTTATTATTTTTGTTTGTTTGTTGATGGTTGGTTGGTTTTGTTTGGTGCGTCTGCTTGTCTATTTGTTTGATTGGTTGGTTGCTTCTTTGTTGTTTGGTTTGTTTGGTTTGGTTCGGTTTGGTTTGGTTAGTTGCTTGTGCGCTTGCTTGCCTGCTTCCTTGTTTAGGTGTGCGTTTTGTGCTGCTTTGTTTTGTTTTGTTTTGTTTTTGTTTGCTTGTTTTGCGTTGTTCGAATTGATTGATTTGTTTGTTTGTGTTTGTTGTTGTGTTGCTTGCTTGCTTGCTTGCTTGCTTGCTTGCTTGCTTGCTTGCTTGCTTGCTTGCTTGCTTGCTTGCTTGCTTGCTTGCTTGCTTGCTTGCTTGCTTGCTTGCTTGCTTGCTTGCTTGCTTGCTTGCTTGCTTGCTTGCTTGCTTGCTTGCTTGCTTGCTGCTTGCTTGCTTGCTTGCTTGCTTGCTTGCTTGCTTGCTTGCTTGCTTGCTTGCTTGCTTGCTTGCTTGCTTGCTTGCTTGCTTGCTTGCTTGCGTCCTTGCTCCTTCCTTGCTGGCTGGCTGGCTGGCTGGTTGGTGGTTGGTTTTGTTGGGTGGGTTTGCTTGTGTGTGTTTGGTTGTTTGATTGTTTGTTTGAGTATTTGTTTGATGTGCCTGGGTTGGCTTGTTTGTGTTTGCGTGCTTGTTTTTGTGTAGAGTTGTTTTGTATTTTGAGTTTTTGTTGTTGATTGTCTTCGTTTGTGTTGCTTTCCCGAAAGCATCGCGAAGGGTTCTTCCGTTTCCGTGAGGAGCCCTCGGGCAAGTTACATAGAGCCAAGTTGCACAGAGCCAAGTTACATAGAGCCAAGTTGCACAGAGCCAAGTTGCACAGAGCCAAGTTGCATAGAGCCAACTGGCACAGAGCCAAGTTGCACAGAGCCAAGTGGCACAGAGCCAAGTGGCACAGAGCCAAGTGGCACAGCGCCAAGTGGCACAGAGCCAAGTGGCACAGAGCCAAGTTGCACAGAGCCAAGTGGCACAGAGCCAAGTTGCACAGAGCCAAGTTGCACAGGGCCAAGTTGCACAGAGCCAAGTGGCACAGAGCCAAGTTGCACAGAGCCAAGTGGCACAGAGCCAAGTTGCACAGAGCCAAGTTGCATAGAGCCAAGTTGCACAGAGCCAAGTGGCACAGAGCCAAGTTGCATTGCGCCAAGTGGCACAGAGCCAAGTGGCATAGGGCCAAGTTGCCTAGAGCCAAGTGGCACAGCCAAGTTGCACAGAGCCAAGTGTCACAGAGCCAAGTTGCACAGAGCCAAGTGGCACAGAGCCAAGTTGCATTGCGTTGCGCTGCACAGAGCCAAGTGGCACATAGCCAAGTGGCACAGAGCCAAGTGGCACAGCGCCAAGTGGCACAGAGCCAAGTGGCACAGAGCCAAGTGGTACAGAGCCAAGTGGCACAGAGCCAAGTGGCACAGAGCCAAGGTTAGGTAGAGCTTGCGTAGAGCTTCGGCGTAAGCAGCTATAAGTTAGTTGAGGTTTCAAAGGCGCCGGGGTGGGATTGATCATCGCTCGGGATTGCGATCCTCTGCGGAGATCCGCGTGTTCGAGGCGAAAAAACAGGACTTTTCACGATTTCTGATCTGCGCGCGCGACCCTCTGCGGAAATTCGCGTGGTCGAGGTTAAAAAAACTGATTACATTTTACGATTTCTGCGGTGCCCGCGCGACCCTCTGCGGAGATTCGCTTCGTCGAGGCTTAAAAAACTGAGGACTTCTTGCAATTTCTGCTGTGTGCCCGCGCGACCCTCTGCGGAGATCCGCGTGGTTGAGGTTAAAAAAATGAGTACTTTTTACGTTTCTTGCGAGCCGCGCGCGACCCTCTGCGGCGATCCGCGTGGTCGATGTCAAAAAACTGAGGACTTTTTCTTTTTACGATTCTTGCGGTGCGCGCGCGGCCCTCTGCTGAGATCGTGCGTGTCGAAGCGCTCTCGCTGTGGTGCCGTGCGATTTCCTTGCTCGCAAAATGGCCTTTGGAAGTCGTCTCGTGGCGTGCGCGCCTGCTTTCGCAATCGCGCGGTTTCGGGTTCGATTCCCCGGGCAGCTCCAGCTGGAAAATCGCAACTTTTAAGTATGAAAGTAATAGGCGAAGTACACTTTCGCAGCTCCGGCTGGAAAAATCGTAACTTCACTTGCGCAGCCCCGGCGCAACTTTTGAGAGCGAAGTACACTTTCGCAGCTCCGGCTGGAAAATCGCAACTTTTACGTGCGAAAGTAGTACGCGAAGTACACTTGCGCAGCGCCGGCTGGAAAATCGTAACTTTGAAGTTCGAAAGCATTACGCGACGTAAACTTTCGCAGCTCCGGCTGGAAAATCGCAACTTCTAAGTACGAAAGTAGTACGCGAAGTAAACTTCCGCAGCTCTGGCTGGAATATCGCAACTCTTGAGTACCAAAGCAGCACGCGAAGTAAACTGTCGCAGCTCCGGCTGGAAAATCACAACTTTTAAGTACGAAAGTGTTTCGCGAATAGAGGAAACTTGTTCAGAGCAACTTGCTGGGAGAACTTGCTTGGAGAACTTGCTCAAGGGAAATCGCGCCGACAACTTGCTCAGAGCGACTTGCACAGAGAGCTTGCTCGGAGAACTTGCTCAGAGGAACTCGCGCCAACAACTTGCTCAGAGCAACTTGCACAGAGAACTTGCTTGGAGAACTTGCTCAGAGGAACTCGCGCCAACAACTTCCTCAGATGCGCAACTGCGCGGAGAACTTGCTAGGATTGCTAGGAGAACTTGCCGCCGCTGCTAATGCTTTCGGGGCACCCATCTTCTAGTGTTCTATTTTGCTTTGCTCTGCTTTGCTTTGCTTGCTTGCTTGTGCTTGCTTGCTTGCTTGCTTGCTTGCTTGCTTGCTTGCTTGCTTGCTTGCTTGCTTGCTTGCTTGCTTGCTTGCTTGCTTGCTTGCTTGCTTGCTTGCTTGCTTGCTTGCTTGCTTGCTTGCTTGCTTGCTTGCTTGCTTGCTTGCTTGCTTGCTTGCTTGCTTGCGTGCGTGCGTGCGTGCGTGCGTGCGTGCGTGCGTGCGTGCGTGCGTGCGTGCGTGCGTGCGTGCGTGCGTGCGTGCGTGTTTGCGTTGTTTGTTTGTCTGTCTGTCTGTCTGTCCGTCTGTCTGTCTGTCTGTCTTGTTTGTCTTGTTGTGTCTGTGTTGTTTGTCTTGTTTGTCTTGTTTGTCTTGTCTGTCCTGTCTGTCTTGTCTGTCTTGTTGTTTTGGTTGGCTTTGTTGTGTTTGATGTGTTTGAATTGTTTGCTTGATTGATTAGTTATTGCTTACTCTTGGCTGCGCGCAAGATAGGAGTTTGGTTTTGTAAGACCCTGTCGATCGAGCCAGCAGGTTTCTGTGGTCTTGGACGAACATGGCGAGTTCTTCGCCGCTGGGGATGCTGGAGAACTGGTGGGAAGCACGCAAGTGATAGAGGACTTCATTCCAATCAAGAAGCACGGGATTGCTGTTGCCTCGCGCTTCATTTGCATGCAACCGGAGACGCACCGTTACTGGGCAAGAGTGTTTGGTTATTCCGCCTCTCTCCCAAAACGATTATGGCAGAATAATTTTAGATCCTGGAAGAAGCTCCACATGATTGGAAGAAACGAGACGCGAGTTCACAGACGGTTGGCCAAGGTTATGTAAGCACCTTCAATAACCCCTCATGCTGTGACGTCGAGATCATGGGAGCAGCGGCGGACGGCCAGCAGCAGTCCGAGCCTTTGCACTTCAGCTGGGACACCATTCGGTCTCGCTCGCCATATCTGACGAAGATGATCAAGAACTCGGACGCCTGGGTTTTACAGCGGGTTTTTTGGGGATGTGTTATTTCGGGTTTGCTCGTTTTCCAGTGGATCGAGGTGACTTTTGCGGAGCACTGGAACCAAATGTCCAATGGATGGAACACGCTTGCTTCCCTTAGGAAACTGTCTCACCTGTCTACATGTTATTTGAGCCACACTCAAATCCTGTGTAGATGGTAGTAAGGGAAAGTCCCAACTGCCCAACCATCAATAAATGCGTATGGCGCCCTGGTTCTTCGCATGATTTTGGGGGTAGACTTTGTGCTTGATACCAGGTGGGCAGCTGTGAGAGTTAGGGCCCTTGTTGGTAGCCTGGCGGCACGTATCGGCAGCACCTGGTTTGAAGCGGTTGTCGAATCAGAGGAAAGCATGGGCTCTGGTGTGCAGAAGAAAGACAGCGGCTGGCGGGTGCACATCCACAACTACTCCTGGAAAGCGCTGCAGGCGCTGCGTCCCCATTCGGGGGAGTGTCTCTAAAATCGCGAATGTTTAAGGAGAGGCTCCGGCCTGTGTAAACAGAACATCAGGTACAACCGCGGGGGCCTCGTAATCTTCCTGAGATCGGGAGAAGCAAGGATTTGCAAGGCAACTTCTGTAAAACCTGCTCGCGTGCTATCGTGCCCAAGTTGAGGTATGCGTAGACCTCGACATGCTGGCCATGTACTCTTTGCATGTTAGTGCCTCCCATGAAACTGTGAAAACTATCTTAATTTACTCACAGCATTGCCGCATGTCCGGTTGCAATTGTTGCTGAGTTCACCAACCAGCCTCCTGGACCCCTTTTAAAGAGGTTGTTCAAAGAATGGCGGTCAACCCATTGTTTAAATTGTTTAAGCTAGGACTTTTGACCCAGAGCCAGTTTTTTTGTTTCGTTCGAGGCGTATGGGAAGTACTTACACCATGACGTGGTGGAAGCGGAGCCGGGGAGCATTGTTGAGCTGCTCCAGTTGGCAGATGAGTATGGAGATGAGACGGGGCTCCAGAGTTTGCACCTTCATTTAAGTGGGAGGGGAAGCCCGGTTTAGCTCCCTGAGATCCTGGACTTGTTGTTTTTCGGTGTTTAGACCACTTTCGCAAAGCCACACGTCCAGTAGGGCCATGTTTCCGTTTTTTGATGTTGGGTGTTTTTCAAAGTCAACTGGACGGGCGGGGGAAGGGGGGGATTTTGGTCCCTTCCATTTACCGACGGTGCAACCCAGTTTGCGTGTGGTCACACAAGTCGGCGCAGGGGCTGCATGCTGCGCCGTCTAGTTTGTTTCGCAGAACTTCTGGTCATGTTTTTTTGAGGGCGCCCTCTTGCGGTTTATTATAGGGAGACCAAAAGGGACAGCCACATCCTTTCGGTGCCTGCCGCAAAGCCCTGGATGCGTGTCAACTTCTTACAAGTTTGTCTCTGGACCTCCGGCGGGCCCAGGTGTGCAGCCACCCTGCGGCGCCAGGTGTCGGACAAGAACTTGCGGATCTGCCTGACCCAATGCGCCGACGCTGCAATTCGCTCCGATTTACCGCGTGTTTGTTTGAGGCGAAAGGACGCCTGTTTAGGGTTTAAAGGGATGCCGAAAGGAAAGCCGCCATTTTCACCTTGTTTTTGACGCAAACCCAGTTCCCCGTACTCCTCATGTTTTTGGGATTGGGGTTGGTTGAAGGAGATTCCGAAAGTGCACATGTACGAGGTGCCAAGGGGCTGTTTGGGTTGCTTTTTGCCGGGTGTGGGTTTCAATGAGGTGCCTGCTGATCAGCGAAAGGTGGGGTTGGTGCAAGTCATGCAATGAAAAAGTATGCGGATAAATCGACCACAAGCCCGTGCCCCTAGTTGGGAGCGTCAATAGTTGTTTTGTTCTTGGCTGTTTAGATGCTCCTGAATTCATAGACAGCCGCGTTGCTCACGTCTTCTGAGAGCTATTGGTTTAACTTGTTTCGTTGAACAAATCAGCGAAAGCGACAGGGGGGTTTGCGAGTTGGCTGCCAAATTGGGTCAGGCATGCAGATCAAGTTCCTGTCGCTGGCGGCAGACTTGGTGAAGCGAGGACCGCACAGGGAGCGTTCCCACCAGACTTCGAGACCGGCAGTTGGCAGTTGGGGGCACTGCGAGTTCGACTTTATATGGGCGGTTGCTATGTGTGTCTTGAATGAAGGATGAAAACAAGAGAAGCCGAGCGGAAACCAACCCTCAATTTGAGAACCCCAATCATTTATCAAGATTGTGGCTTGTCAGATTGTGTGACTTGCATGACGTATTGCTGTGCTTGAGTGCTTGCTGCAAGCGGAAGACGTCCAAGTACTCAAAACACGTGTATTGCTGTATGTGCGTTTGAGGCTTTAGCGCGTAAATATGTCAGCCAACCGCTGAGAAAGGGCTGTTGTCGAGGACCTACCATACTCTTTGAGTCACAGGGGCAATGTCTTACTTGCAACCTGCCTCGCCCCACGTTGGGTTCTTGCGGAGGGCTTTGCCTGAAGAACGCCTGTGACATTTTGAACGCCGTGGAGATGGTTCCGGAGATGGTCCGCGGGGAGGAGGGGGCGGAGGCCGGACGTCGCCAGCCATGTCAGGTGCATTTTGGAAATGGGGTCCTACGCTCCTGCCATGGAGCGTCCTTTCTTGTGGGTCCCTTCAGGATCCAGCCCGGTGATCATGACGATTCACCTAGATGGGCGGTTTAATTGGTGTTGATTTGTTACTTGGTGGCTTGGTCGTTTGCATCGGAGAGACGGCCACGGGTAGTTTGGTCATCGGTTTTTCGTGCGGCTTATCTAGCCTGGGCTGGGCCAACGGCCACGCAAATTCCAGCTGATTAGGCATGTTTGTAGCCACCTCGAACAGGCAGGGATTCGCTGCAACTGTTCGGCTTCGAACGCTTGGGTGGTTGACTACATGCTTATGCTCGATAGCGTTCCTCAAGACCCTTGCAGTTGGTATGGGTGGTGTATCCTAGTATTCATGGGGTGTCATGCTCCCCAACTTTCCAATCCACCGTATTTGTCCAATTTTCATGCGTATTTGTTTTTAGGGAACCCCCAAAATTTTGTTTTTGTTGGTTTCCCTTTAAAGCCATAAAGAGGGGTACCTATGGCACACCCAAAAACACATACCAAAGGCGAGCCCTTGGCGCCTCTCTGCTGAGCCCCTCCGGGCAAGGCATCGCTGCGGCGGTACATCCAGGAGAGGGCTTGCAATGGGTTTGGCGCTGCGACAGGCTACTTTGCAGATGAGCATGGAGCCCGGAAAAACACAATGCTCACAAGAAACTCGAAAAACACAAAAAACTGAGGGACGTGGAGGGCGACCACCGGGACCTCTTTCATTTCCCCTGAGGGTAGTGGTTACGCCAAAATGAAACGGCGATTCAGAAACCGGCTTCAATTTCGGGCTGATTCTGGGGCTCGACATCTTTGGTTTTCCAAAAGAAGATTGACTCAGGCCAGAAATACGCAGGGGGTCCCCCCGTTGGGAAACGAACCGAATTGGCGGCAGAAACATGTGCCCACTTGGTAATATAAGGTACTTGCTGCTGCGTCTTCCGACACACCCCCATGTGGCGTGGCTTCCTATTTTATCGTTGGACACTTGTAAGCTGAAAATCCAAGCATTGGTTTGGGATTGACCTCATCGGTAGTTTCCTATGTGAATGCCATAAATGATATGACAAATGATGTTCGTATATAGGGCACAGGTTCTTTCTGCGGCGCTTTTGGTGGGAAGGATCCTTTGGAAAAAGGAGGGCGCAGTTTAGGGGAACCTTGAAAAGGCATTCAACCACACCAAGAAAAAAGGGGGACCAGAGTGTGTCAAAATCGGCACCCAAAAACTGTGGTTACCCCTTGCAACCTCTAAAAGGGTACCAACTCCCAAAACACACACCGCTACCTGCAAAAGTATGCCAACCTCGAAATGGCGGGAAATCCCCTGGGTGTCCCATTTGAAGCTTCACCTCCAACAGTAATTGCCCTCCATAAACCACATACTTTTCAGGGTCAGAATCCACCGGACAAAATCGTCCAGAAAAACAAAGGGCCATAAACTGCAGCAATTTCTGCTTTTCTTGGCGAACTCTGTTCTCTGAAAACCCGAGAGACCCCAAAAGTGTCTCCAAAAATCTTCACCAATCTGGAAGCTCGAAGAGTCAGAGGTGTTGGTCATGTCTGCCTGAGGATTGCCCAGAAATCTTGTTTCTTCAAGTGCCCCTCGAAACCGCAACCTCCCGCGCTCCAAATTTCCCCAAAAAAAACAAGGCTGGGGTCGAAGGAAACAGAGCCCCCATTGTCATGGAGTGCAAGGAGTACACCTTGGACCAGCTTAAGTGCAAAGACTTTTGGGAGACTGTCCGGAGCCAACGGTTCCCTCAAGTTTTGCTTGGATCAGCTTCAGCAACGGCTCACAGCGGGGCTTTTTTAAAGAGAAAGTACCCTTGTGTCTTCCATGTGTCCACAGTTACAGGAGCTTCCATTTTTTGGGGGATCCACTAAAAAACGAGCAAGACCCCCAAGTTGGATCTGCTTCGTCGTGAGGATTTGGTGATGTCCTTCGCGGCGCAGCACGCCACCGCGCTGGTGGAGGACCAGCACTTCGCTGAGGTGCGCCCGGAGATCGCCAAGCAGCTGCTGGTGAAGCTGGGCAAGGCCCAGCCCTGCCGTTTCAGGAGAGGCACACACACGTACAAATATACATATACGCCCATATATATATATATATATTTATATGTTCAAGCAAAGTGTGTGTGTGTGTGTGCGCGTGCGTGTGGTTATGTATGTAGAATACATATGGGTTATGTATGTACTCTGGCTATGAACTTGACTAGATTTGCACAGGGACCCGCCTGAAGTGTGGTTGGTGAACATACATCCCCAATCAATGTATGTGTGTGTGTTGTTTGAGTTGGTTCAGATAGGTTTCAAGAGAAACCATAGGAAACCACAAGTTTGAAGGTCCCCCCTATTCTGACACATACCCATACACAATATTTATTTTTGTACACACACACACACATTTGGTCAGCCCCCCCCCCCCAAAAAAAAAAGAAAAGAAAGAAAGATAAGCTCAGGTGATATCCCCAACAGCATGCGGTGCCCTTTTTAGTGCTCGCACCACCCCGCAGAACCTCGTAAAACCCTCGTGGAACCTCGTGGATGCTCGTGGAACGCTCGTGGAACCCTCGTGGAACCTTACCTCGGGGCCGTCCCGGACCACCCCGGAGCCTATCTGGGCTGAGACCCCAAAGCTACAGTGAAGCGGGCCGCCTGCTACTGCAACTACTACTCCTACTACTACTTCTACTCCTCCTCCTCCTACTACTTCTACTACTACTACTACTACTACTACTACTACTACTACGACAGCGGCTAGTAGCGGTAGGCCTGCCTTCCTATGGACTTGCCCTGCGGTTGGCTCCAGTCTCGGCTGACTGCCACTGGGCCGGCCGTGGGGGGACACGCTTCAGCTACAGGGCAACAGAGACAAAAACCTCCCGCGCTGGGGGCGGCTTCTTGAATTCTCACATACGTAAACACAGCTGCATATATAATTGTGTAGACAAAATGAATGAATCAAGAACAACGTTAAAAGCTACGATGTATAAATGAACACAAAGAATTATGTATAGGAATCGCTTCTTTTGAAGGGTGGTTTGGACGCCCCCGAGGGCGCCAGCGTGGGGGCGGACCCCAATCACTTGGGGTGATCAAGCTTTACAGGGTCGCTTCAGGGAATCAACGGAAGGGAATTCACTTTTGGTGGTGAAGATGCATCACCTTGTTGGGCCAATTCAAAGTGAGTGCCCTTTTTGGTGATTCCTTAAAGGGTATTCGTGGGTGTTGGGGGGAGGCGAAAGCAGGGTTACAGGGGAAAGGCTTGGGAGGGCGAAGGTATTTTGTTGTTGGCTTGTGGAAGGGAAAGATGTGCACGGGCGGACTTTTTGGGCGGGAGGTGTTTTGGGAAAGTGCCGCTGAAAGGTTGTAGGGAAGCTGGGGGTGCTTTGAAGGATGTTTTTCGTGGCAGGGGAGGAGGCGTGAAGGGGAAACTACCACAGATTGGCGCAGAGGTGGGCATGCTCAAGACCTGACCAGCTGACCAAAGGCTGACCCCTGGCCCGCATGAGTCAGGTGTCGAAACCGGAGAATCCTGTTTGGTCTTTGCTTGTAGCTTTCCAAAGCGGAACGGAATCCAGAAGGAAATATGAAGATTGCTGGCTGTCAGTTGGGTGTGGGTTGGACACATGGGTTGTGGATCAGTTGCAGCTTGGTTGTGGTTTAGGTGCTGTTTTGTTTTGGGTTGTGTTTTGTGTGTGTATGTGTGCGCCTGGCCTATGGGTTGGTTTTGGGTTCATTGTGCTTTGGCGATTCGCTTATCGTTTGTTAAGCTCGTTTTTTCTCGGATTTCACCAGCCAAGGACTTGCCGAAGACACACGCCAAGCTCCAGCAAAAGAACTTCCGCTGGGCAGCGCCTTGCCCGCCCTACGCCGAGTGCTTCATCTCTCTCCTCGGAGCGCCAGTGACCGCTGCTCTTCATCGCCAGGCATGTTGCAGGCCCTGCCCGGCGGAAAAGCGCAGCTGGTTTCATGGCTGAGGGTTCATTGCGGGCTTGTCTTTAAGGCTTGCGCCCGAAAAAATGAGTTTGTGCAGATCCGCTGAGGCGCGAAAAAAAACAGAGCAACTTGCTTCCGGGGAACCGTTTGACTGAGAGTTTATCTCACCAATCAGTGTTTCAGAACACGTATGTTTGAGTGCATACTGAGATAAGCAGATTCATGTTGAGAAGTGTTAGTGGATTTGCCATTCACTTGAAATAGTGACACCGCTATTCCTTTTTACCAACCAATCATAAAGAATCTATCCAGTTGGACACTGCCCCCACCTCTGGCAGATGACTGCAGATTGATTTGACAGGCATTCCAGCTTGGAGTTAAGCTGGACTTGGGGGAACCCTGCATTCACTACTTTTTGGGGAAAGTAGATGGCACAAATCCCACATGTTTGTATTTTCACCTTATTTGCTTCAGAAGGGAAGCAAGCCCATCCACGTTCACCCTGGACCTGTCAAGTTGTTTCACAGAGACTCCAACAAAGTATGTGGTAAACCGTTCACTTCTAAGACAGGACCTTGGAGTACTCCAAAAATGGATGGGAGTCTCTTACTTTGAGGCTTTTTTGGGGGTTTGTATTTTAGAGGAGCGAAATGGAAAATACCCACATTTGTATATACGCTGATGTACTGGGTTTTCTCGGTGGGGTTCCCCCATTTAGATACCCGGATCACCCTGTTCACATCAATCCTCTCCGCGTTCAATTCGATCCGAGGCCGCCACCTTTGCAGCCAAGGAGGCGGCGCAGGTGGCCCAGGCGAAATCCGCGAGTCTCCTTCGCCACGAAACGGGTACCACGGCAATGAAGCCAAAGCCTTTAAACCAGGGTTTCTGAGTGCCTAAAAGAAAAACACACATGGCAGATCAAGGGCCAATCTCCATTCGTGGAGGTGTGGCCTTTCCGGAATGCCGGTTGAGAATTTGGGGCTGGTTCATTGGTTGCCAGTATTGTGTAATATCTTTTGTGCATTGCATGGAGAAAGGCACTTGGCACGCACTTGAAGATTTGCATCTCTGGCTCTTGCGTGTTTAGACTGGATGGTGAGCACGAATACCTACAATGCCAGAAGATCCATCCAAGTTGCCGCGTGTTCTAGAAAAGCCACGAGTGTCGCGCATGGTTTCTCGCTGCGAGTGAGTGCCCTTACCTGAAGTCTTTTCCAAACCGATTTCATACTTTGAATATGAAACCGAAACTGAACCTGTTATTTGTGGTGTGAGGGTACATTGCCAAAGCATTCAAAGACCAGGAATGATGAAAGACTTCGCTATTCATCAAGCGTTGACAAGACTTATCCCACTGCAGACGTTCATCCTCTCCCATTGCAGTGGGTGAATGCACAGTTCTCGAGCAAGATATGTCCAGAAGTTGGTGTATGCCATGTGGTTAGAGGTGGTCATTCTGACCAAATTCACGGGATAGGAAGCGGCTGTGGCTTGCTGCGCCGAGTTGCAGGAGGATTCTCGGGGGAGTGGCGCGGCTAGCGATTGGCCCGTGTAGAGCAAACATGTTGCGAAGGCAAAGCTTGGCTTGTCTCAGCCAAGTTGGGCGATGGGTTTGAACCTGATGAAGACACCTGTGTGGCATGACGACTCCGCGTCGTTGTTTAGCGCTTTGATAGACTGTTGCCTCGCTTTGATTCCAGGAGAATTGCAGTAATCTTCCTAGGTTCTTCCAACTCGCCTGCTTGTCAGCAAAGATCCTCAGTTCGTGGCTTGGATTTGCGGTTTGGGTTCAATTCCCCAAACCAATCCAATCCAATAAGGGGGAAGCTGAGGTTATGTTCAAAGGGAAATGAGCTTTGAGGGACTGGGGGGGGTGTCATGTCCTTGGCCAGTTTGAGGCCACCCTTGTCAGTGAATAATTATGCGAATTTGTTTGCAATCTGGGTCAGAAAGACTAGCCTTTATCAAAAATACATTTATTTTTACAAAGCGTGTTTGGCACACTGCCACCACTCTTTTGGCAATGCTTGCCACGCTTTTCAGCTTGACACTGAGTCAGCCTGTGGATGGGACACTTGACAAGCTTTTAGGGCATTCTCGGGCTAAGCATGTGTAGTTCGGTCAAATATTCCAGATCTCTACTTGGTCACTTTGAGAGGGACATAGGGATGCTCTGCAATTCTTGCACAAACTGGGGCCTCTCTCATTTCCCATGTGCACAGAAGGAAAAGCATGTTTTGCCATAGCCCTAGGCGTGGTCCAGAAGTGAGCCTTCCGGTAATATGGCATCACGCATCATGGCATGCATTTCGTGTGTGTGTGTGTGCGGGCCCCATGACCAAAATGCGCATAATGTGAAATGGATCACCCTCCAGGTGGTACGGCTTGACAATTCCCACTCATTCTGCCATGAAAATCATTTTGCAGCATTTGCTCCGTGGCTCCCTTTTGACCTCGTTTGGTGGGCTGAAAAAAGGTGTGTGCCTGTGTGCCTGTGTCTGTGTCTGTGCCTGTGTTTGTGTCTGTGTCTCTGTCTGTGCTGTGTCTGTGTCTCTGTCTGTGTTTTTTTGAGCCCCGAAAATGGTGGTTTGTTCTGCCGGTGTCCCAGAAAAGCCACCAACCTGTGAAAAAGACACACCCACATGTTCAACCCCAAAAGGGTCACTGGGCTTGCGGCAGGACATTGCCAGGATGTCTGCAGCGCTTGAGGCGTGGATGCTATGGCCGAGATGCCGGGAATGGTTGCCCAGTCTTACCGTTTTTCTAAAGTGAACCAACCAAAAAAAGGATGCCCTTTTGCCTCACCCAGATTGCTGCAACCACGACTGGGCGCGGCCAAGAGCAGGCTACGAAAATGAGAAGAAGAAGAAGGAGTAACAAACTCGGTGCGGATTGACCTTTACCCCCAAACCTGCTGGATAATGTTTGTTGAACACCCTTGACCTAGCAAAAGGCTCACTCGCAGGTCATCAGTCAGACACCAACCCAGAAACGTCCCAGGATCAGCACCATAAGTTCTGCATGTTACGGCACTGTTCAGCGACGTGGCAAAGAGATGGAGAGTATCTCGCGTCACTGGCCTTTCTTGCTCCACGGGTGGTCCATTGGAACAAGCAGACCCGGATTCAAAGTCCTTGCTCATTGCTTCAGCGCATGTGACCTTCTGGCCCGTTTCCTCTCAACTTTATCAGCACCAAGCAACCCAATCAACAAACCCAACCAATCCCAACCAAGCCAGGCAAGCAAAGCCAACCAAGCCAAACAAGCCAAACAAGCCAACCAATCCGACCAACCAACCCAAACCCAGCTCAACCCGCCCAGCCAAACAGTTGGGGCCTTTGCGGGGGAGCTTGCGCACGCCAGGCTTCCTTCGGCAAGGCGCAGGCTCCGAAGGGTGGGTGGGGGGGGGAATGGCCACGCGCCGTTTGAATTGAAGGACACCTTCAAGTTGTTTACAAGATGAACCGATGGAAAACATCCGATTTAAATAGGCCCTATTCTACGACAGACCCAGGTCAGTTTGGCTCAAAATGCACGGATTCCACTGGTTCAAATGTTGGTTCTGATTCTGATCCAGTAGGGCCCATCGATTTTTCCGAAAGGAACCTAGGCCAATGACAGCAGAGCAGCCTGTCGAGCAAACGGCATGACTGACTCTGCCCACCAGATTGCAACCAGGGGTTGAACACCATTTGCCCAACACGGATGAAGCCTCCGTGAGCACACAGGACACACATGTCACATTCTTGGCAGGTGTGCGGCACATATCCAGATAGAGACAGCTGAAGTCAAATCCATCGGCAGAGTCCGGCCATGTGGACGGTTTCTCGAGGCTTGGGGACTGGATCGAGATTTGCGTTGCTCGCCTGGTCCAACAGACCCGACCAAAAACGGCGCACCATCTGCCAAATAGATTTTCATCCGCCAGGTGCCTTTGCCGTTTTCAAGGCTCAGCTCGATATCAGCAGTATTGGCCCCGAAATATCCCGAAATTCGCACCCTCCTTGCAGAAAATCCCGCTTCGAGCTTGTGCTTTTGTGCAGGGGAAGGAAGCCAGCAAATTGTCTTCTAGCACAGCGGAGATTCGTGTGTCCTATTCGAAGTGTGACTTCGAGGATATCTTGGGCATGTTCAGGAAGTATGACTGTCAGGCATAGCACTGCATGACAAAGAACCGCTTCGTTTCGAACTTGCTCTTTGCTGCCAGCAGCGATTGGCCACGAATAGGCTTCCAAACTTGCGCCAATTCGCAGACTGCCTTCATATGTGTTTTGCAGTCTTCGTGTCAGCCTGAAGCCTCACAGCAAAGACTGATGCCTCCCCCCTGGTTCGATACACAGATTGACGCGTTGTAGTGTTTTGTTTCTCCACAACTGCTCTCGTAGCATTCTATTGGCTTCGACCAGACATTATGTTCTTTCACAGAGGCGAGTTTGGGGAGGGCCATCAACGAAACGAGCGCACAACAAGTGCAAAACGAGCGCAATCGGCGCAAACAGGTGCAAGCAAGCACAAATCCAACACATGGTACGGGACGTGGGTTCCGCGGGCGAATAATTGCTGACAACTCCAGCGATGTTTGTTGCATCATACATTTATTGTAGAAGAGGTTGTCATACGTTTGGGGCCACCCGGTCAACTGTGGCTCAAAGCAGCGACGTGAAGCGCAAACGATTGCTAGATTTATCTATGAGAGATATGCTCTGCAACACGTTGGCTAGCGTTGCTGACTGGCTTAAACGGTGTTGGAAGAATCTGTGCTCGATCCCACCCCGTCGCCTGGCGTGGCAATTTGGATGGCCATTGGGACGACCCGGAAGTGGTCTTTGGATGGTGGTTGATTTATGGCTCTTGAGCGCAATGCGAATCCTGCGAGGTGCAAAAGTGGTCCATCCAGTGAGGACTTGGCCACGTTTTGAGCGAGACAGCTTGGCGAAATGCAGGGACGACGCCCATCTTCTCAATCGGCAACCATTAGGTTCAATCACGAGAGGCGTGCTGTCAGCCTCTTTCCGCCTTGATGGTCTGGGACTTTGCCAAATAGCCAGTAACCCTGCTTACAGGGGACTTGCAACCATTGTGAGTGGGTTACAACCAGGGTTACTGGCCATTTAGCCATCTACGTGGGGTCCCAGTAACGTCAAGTTTGGGGGTGGCTCCAATGAGCCGAGGCTGGTTGCGGTTGGGGTGATGTCTTTTAGGTTGGACGTCGGCTCGTGCCGATAGGGCGGGGATCAGCCGGAGCTCAAGACAGAGCTCAGCCGTGGACTCAGCGCTCTCAGGTTTCACATTCGGTTCCTTGAAGCTCCTTTTCCAAATTGAGTTCATTGGGCTTCTTGGTTCATTCTGGGGAAGACGTAGGATACATTTACATGTTACAAGTGGATCAAAGTGAAGCAAACAATGGTCCTAACCGGCAGAAAATTGGCTTGGTGGCCCTTGACCAATTTTCTACAACCTTTGGGGCAATCTGTCGGGGTGCGCTCCACTTTTGTCTGACTTTTTGTCTAGGTTTGGAGTCGCTAGCAGGAAAGTGGTGTATCAACCAGCCTTCAAATCAACTTTCATCCATCCTAACTGGCACCATCCACAGCATGAGTGCACTGCACCCCCTTGCCATGGCAAGTTGCCCCAAGAAGTTTCTTTGGAGCTTGAGGACGCGTTTGGTTAATCCGCCACATTGTGTGTAAAACCTGACAGCCAAAAGTGAAGTTCTTTTACTTTGCGGGAGCGCAAGCAAAGACGGACGTTTATCACATGCAGTCACTTCCAGGGATCTCCTTGTGTTGTGTTGCAATGCTGCAGGGTTGAGGATGGACAATGGCGCAACGGCGCAAATCACGAAAATATTTTCAGAGACCGGTCTCTTTGGTCTCCCAACATTTAGTCCGGGCATGACTTTGGCTGGCTGCGTCATGGAAGCGTGCTGCAAGGGTAGCCCCAGACCATCCACGCCAGAAACGGCTCCTGTTTCTTAATTACGCAGCCGGCAATGCTCAAAAGGTCACCGTAGATCTGTTGGAACTTACTCAACATGCAAGCGCACAAAGCGGCCCATCGTGGAAGGCGACATCTTCCTTGTGACACAGGGTGTGCTCTTCCGTGTTTCAACTGGCTAAAGGTTCACATGTGGGCCGGAATCAAACTTTCATGTTCGCCGGGGGGTTTTGCTGTTTGTTCACTGGACAGCTGGATCGCTCTCAGTGGCTGAAGCTGAGCCCATTCGGCGTTGAGTTGCCTAGGTCGCTGTGAGGCGCACTTTCAGCAGCAACTCGAGGACTTTGGGGAGGCATTTAGGGGACTCCAGGGGCCATCTGGTGCTTGTCATGTACCTGAAAGCTAAAGCGCTTCGTTTTGGTGTGAGGGAATCCTAATTGATCCCATCCCATGGTTCAACGGTGCTGGGAACTTAGGGTTAACAAAGCCCTGGATGAACAGAGGGAAATTCCCCAATCAGGAGAGGATCCTTTCTTTTTTTGGTGGGGGTGTTCCCCCTTCTGCAAGCGGCTGGTGAATCTGGGGTTGACATTTTAAGTGGGGTTCTTTGGTTCAGGGAGTTCAGTGTGGGTCGAGGCGGTTTGGGCAGATTTAGGGGACGCGGGTGCCAGGGACAGCAGGATGGGGGGAGTGCCTGGACAGCATGACAGTTCTGGTTGCATGCACAGCAGTATTTTGAGCGGGGTTGTGTTGATTTTCAAGCGGGGGGGTGCTTGCTGGCGCTTATCATGGTCGCCCCGACAGAACTTCGCAATTATGCCCAGTGCACAATTTACCGGTTCAGCTTGCATTGGGCCAATGCTGACGGAATCCGCGCCAGCCCTTAATTACCCAGTTGTCCATCCGGGTTTCAGCAAGCATGCAAGCTGTTGCCAAACTTCAAAAACGGCAAATCATCACACGGAAGGGTAGAGTCGGATTGTCGACATGAAGGTGTCATTTTGGGAGCTGCCAATAATTCTGGAGGATCAACCTAGATGCCCGCACGCATCAGATATCGGGTAAGTTCGCGCTGGGACGGACGATCCAAATTCAGCCTTGTGGCAATGTGCAACAACAATGGAAGAAACAACAACAGCGGATTGACTGCTGGCGCTAGTCGATTTTTCGTGATCATCGCCGCCATGAACGGAAAGTCTGCTTCCTCCCAGCTATGGCTGTGTCAGCAGCACGGTTCTAAATCACTATTTGATAAACTGTCGGTTTGTGTGACCACGCCGGCAAGCGGAAGCTGCAAGGATATTTGAACTCACGTCCCCTGAAACCTCCCCACAACGCATTCTTTGCTTGTGATGCTGCCAGGAAGCCAAGAAAGTGACCGGTTTCGCTTTGCCCCAATCCGTGTTGTAAGTGAATCCCCGGATCATGAGTAATCCGTCAACTTGCTATATCCCCACACGAGCCCCCGGCTTTTCTGTGATGGCTTTTTCCCGTAAGTCTCCCGTTGATCCCAAGATCCCAAGTCGGTCCCCAGATCTCTTCGCAGGCCATGCAGCAACAGCTCCTGCAGCATGCGGAGACTTGTCGCTCGCTGAGAGGCTTCCAGGACCGGACACGGGGGAAGGCCTTGGAGCGGTGTGGCTAGGACGACCGCAGATTTCTTTGTTTCCTACGGGTTGAAGGACTCCCAAGAAAAGGCATGGCTATATCCTATCTCTTTGTGGATTCAGACAGCAGAGATTTGTATTGCTGATTTCTGGTAGAGTCCTGTTCTTCGCGGATGTGTTCTGTTCTTGCGGAAGTCCCAAAACACTGCTCCCACGTTCCTTTTGTTGACAGCTTACTGGACTACTAGATCTGCGACACGCTCGGCGTGATACACCTGCGTCTTTCACTTTCTGCATGCCTTGAGCGCCCTTTCGCCAGAAACAGGTCTGCAACTGTCAATCGTTGATCGGGTTGTGCACGTTAGCAATGGCAATAGCATATTGCCCGAACAATTGAGGCACGGTATCTAGCGTGGTTAGGGCGGAGCTGGATGTTGTCAAACTGTTGGGATGCCAGATTGCTGGAGGATGGTCATGTTTCACGATTCTTGAGAATTTGATGCATACGGCTGCGTGCGTGATGTCAACATACTTGAATAACAATCGTTGTGTCGTTGAGTTGAGCTGTCAGAAATTAGTATTGTGTGTTCTGAACTCAACACACCATCATCGATTGCACAGAATGCTTTGCTAGTTCTTGAGCATGACACTAGCAATCCGTTTGACACTTGCTGACTTGAGGGAGGCATTGCGCCGAGTGAAGTCATGTCTACAAGTATTTGTGAGGCAGGCTTCACCATGCCATGAAGGTGCACACACACGCACGCACACGCACACGCACACACACACACAACACAACACACCACAACACACAACGCACAACACACAACACACACACACACACGTCTATACGCGCACGCACGCGCTCACAAAGACACATGTGCCGTTCAACTTGTTCAGTTAAGATGAAGTGTGCATTTGTGTGGGGCAGCTGTGCCTGCTTGACAGAAATGATTCGCTTTTCCTCCAGGACTATGGTCGTATGATGGATGCATCATAAAAGGGAGAAGCAAGGTGTCGCCATCTCTGCCACTTTGAGTCAGCGTTCTTGGCTGCTGTGCCCAGGAGCAGTCAGAAGCACGCCTTGGTGAAAAAGTTGGGCGCTCAGGGGCCCACTGTCCGAGTCCCACTCAGTCCTAGCGGAAGCGCAAGATGCTGAGAGCCGGAGCATGCATGTTCAAGGTTTGCTGCTTGCGGATGTTGAGGCTCCGAGCCTGAACTGTGTTGCGATTTGTGAAAAGAAGACAGGGGCAAGTGAGTTTTGTAGTGTAGACAGAACTTGGATGGCGCAACGCCAACTGACCCCTTGGCACCGATAGGAGCAATGACCGATTTGTGTTCCTTCATTGCCGAAAGCTGACTCGCTGATTCGCGACTAAATTGCTTGGGCTATTTTTTTCCCTGAGTAGTGGTCGGCTCCTAGGGACCTATCGGTAAAGTCTGTCAGCCGTGAAACGCAGGCACTCATGACTCCAGGCTTCATGGCACAGTTTTAAGATTGAATGAACCCTTGCTTGATCCCTCTATTCAGATTTGACACCTGGCAAAGAGCAACAGAGTTAACACATGCGCTGAGGATAGTCTGTTTCGTGGATGTACCAGCCATCAAGTTGTATGGTTGCAATAGGCTTCGGCCTTGGCTGGATCTGGCTCATGTTCCTCCGGCCATAGAGGGAATCCAGATTTCGGTGTGGGAGGTGAACTGATAGGAATGCATAAACATCATCTTAGTAATTCCCAGCCATCCACTTTAGCGTTTAGTTTTTTTCTTTTCTTGTTTTCGGTTTAGTGGGGGTTTCCGTTTAACCCTTGTAGCGCTGCCTTTCCAATGGGTTTACTCTGTCAAAATGCGTCCTGGCAGGTAGCTGCCAGTATGGAGACCGTCCAAGGCGCGGGTTCAGAACCGGGCCATGGCGACGTCACGAGATGTTCGGGCCCAGTTTGGGTGAAGAGGTGATGTTTCCCAGCTTCGTCATGCCATGGATCCCTATGAGGGATTCCTCACTCCGGTTCAGCCACTACCTGGACCTTGCTGCACCATCGAGCACTTCCATGTCAGTTGACCTGCTTTACAGCGTTGGGGAGAGGCAACCTCCCCCCAGTGTACTTTGATCTGTTCATGCCCTGCAGTTGCCTCCATTTTGTTTGTTTCCACTTGATGGTTGTCAGAATCCATGATGTTTCTTACGCAGAGAACATTGCGATTTTAAGGCTTCCAGTGAGCAGCAGGGAAATTATTGAGTTTGCTTTTGGGAATGGAACAGGAGAACCATCATGTTGCCATCTCATTTTTCTTCTTTTACCCTCCCACCAACTTCCATGGAAGTGCAAAAAGGCCCTTTCCAAGAGGAAAGTTGTCTTTCTACCGGGGTCTGTGCACCAAACCATGTTAGCTGGTGGGAGGGTATGCTCCTCCTCTGTTTTAGTTTTTTTTTTTTTTTGGGGGGGGGGCGGGGGGGTATTCGATGTGGCATCGATTTGATGAAACCGGCGCCTCGTAACCTTGTAGGCTTGGCCCAGCGTTTGGAGCTCCTCGAGGGCGACCTGCCTCGGGGCCGCGCCCGAATGCCTGGGTCCGCTTCGGTCCGCTTCGAGGATAGGTCAGCCAAAACCCGGCAAGGGGGGGTCTCAAAAGGAGAGTCCCTGAAAAGAATGTTATTGGTTGGGGGGGCAAAGCAGAAAATCTTCTGGAAACAGCATGGTTCTTGTTTGGGGCCATTGGGGGCCTGTTCATCCGAATGTAGTTTACGAAGTTCGAGTCATTTGAAAGACCAATATGTGTATGAACATTTGTATGATGCAAGCATCTCGCACCTGCGTCGCACGTGGGAAGATTGAGTCTTGTTTGCCTGGCTGAGTTGTACGAGGCTGGTGGTCCTCTTTGGTATCCCCTGAAAGGCGGCACCACTGCCCTTGTCCATCTTTGGACAAGGTCAGGCCGGGAACCCGGGGAACAGCCGCTTTGTTTGTGTCGCTTCCTGGAAGCGCCGGCAGAGCAAGAACGGGAACCATGATGGCTTTTGTGGGGAGCACCCACTAGAATCCAACAGGTTGATGAATGTGAGGTCGGTGTTTAATTGAATGCCAAACAAAAGCATCTGGCAGGAGTCCCCTTCTGGGAGACCATGTTTGGCAAGTACATCTAAGTTGACATGTGAACAGGTTTTCCCTTTACTCGGGCGCGGACATGGGACAGAGGCCTCAGCCACGATTCACATGTTGCAAACATCCTGAACAGAGGGCAGCAGCGTTTAAAGCAAACCTCAAGCAACCTTAAAGCATGCAGCCCCTTTGCAGTGGCGTGCAACAGTTCATGGCGGTTCAGTAGTTACAGCAAACAGTCAGAGAGGATGGTATGGTTTATGGCTCACCCAGACAATCAACCCGCTGATTGTTTTAGGAAATCGAAATATCTCGCCACATCCAATGTTCGCAACCATGTTTGCATATGGTAGCCATCGCTGAAGCGCTTGTCACGCACTCTGGTAGGAACTGGATCACGGGTTCCAAGGCCACCTGTCGAAAGCAACGCTAGGCGACTGCATACGCAGTTGTGCCTTTGGTTTCTCTTGAAAGCCACTCAAAGACGGGCTATCCCAAAACCGCGCGCCACATATATAGACAAGCCGGAAATGTCCGGAGCAAGCCTCTGGCATTTGAATATATGTCACGCCGGCTTAGGTGCGAGCCTCCAAGAATGGGCGGCCCGAGGCGAGTGAACAAAGAGGGGGGTGGGGGCCTGTTTTTCCAATACTTGGCCTCCGTCTTGCTTGGTTTATGGGATCAAACACACAGGTTGGGCGGGGTCAAACAAGTCAGGTCCAAAGTTGACAGCATTGCCGTTTCGCCGGCAACAAATCGAAAACCGATCGTAGTGGTTGAAGCCCCGCAATGAGCTGATCACTGACCGTTTGCTGGACGTGGAAGGCATGGCGCATGGCCAGCGTTACACCTGAACCCCTCATTGATTTGTTTAACAGGGTCAGCCTCGAAACGTCTGTGCACCGCACACAAGCAAGCATTGACATCCAGTGCATAGCACCTGGCGTTTGCAATGACACAACCTCCCGCGATACAAGGTAGCTGAATGTACCAGGACAACCTTCATCAAGTGAGCAATGTAACTCTGTTGGGCTCTAATTGAGATCTATCATCCGGGATGATTTTAGTTCAAGGTGTCGCCACCGTGTGTGCAGACGTTATATGTGCTTTGTGCAGATGGTTATCAAAGCAACCCCATAAGCTGCGACATGCAGTGACGCAATGTAGCACACGCGCTTCACCGACGCAGACTTCACCACTGAGCTGGGGTCAGCGGCAGACAGAATTTCAGCAAAAGAGTTGCTTCTTCTGGATGGCATCGGAAAGGAAGCTAAGCGGAAACCAGCTGCGGTCCTGAACTTCAAAATGCACCGCGACTGGGGCTGCGTCCTTGCGCCGCGTGGTATCAGCTTCCTTTCAACCCCAAGGTCGTACGCAAACTCAGTCCCTCATTGGACGCTCTACTTTGTCGGAAGACAAGAGGTGAACAAAAAGTAGCGTGGCTTCTGTTGGCAGATCCACTCTAAAATTGATTTCCACCACAGAAGTATCTGCAGATGGACATCAAGCTTGAACAGCTGGTATTCCTCGAAACTTCGTACATGTTTGTCTTGCTGGTGCTCAGTAGGGAATGTGGGCATGAACCCAGGGGTCCCATGGAAGGAAACAAGGGATGGTTTGTAAGGGCTGAGTACCAGCAAGAAATTTGGAGGGGATGGACCCGCTCAGCCGGTTTCTGCCAGGCGGCGCCTGAAGCCGAGACGCTGCGAGGTTTGGCACGGGCCTTTGAGAGCAAAGGTTTTTTTGCGTTTCGCAGTGGCTTCCTGCTGGAATCCCCCGTCACTTGCTGGTGCTCAGCAGGGAATGATAGAATGACCCTTATAAACCTTCCCTTGTGGTTTCCTTTTGGGGTGGGTTCATTCCCGCAAAGAGAAAGATAATGAGAAAAGACTACAAGGGAGGGAGGCGGGAGGGGGATGGAAAAGAGGAGGATGGAGTAGGAGTACTTTATGTCTTATGTAGTATGGGCGGATACCCATCCTTAAGAAGAGTGATGCTGAATGAAGCAGGATGCCTCTAGCTACTGTAGCATTGTTCTGACAACTTGCGGTTTTGAACATTCCGCCATAGTTATAGTATATAGTTGTTATATTCCTTCGCGATACTGCCCGCGCAGACCCTTGCTGTTGAACAGGTAGGTTTAGGTTTCGCTTTGCGTTTTTGAGGGGGCCTACTTTGCCCAGCCTGCTTTCCAAGGGCAACCAAAGGAAACCGCCTCTGGGGGAGGGGAAGCAGCTTTTAGTTTCAGCATGTTTCAGCCAGCGCTACTTCTCTGCAGCTGCGCGTTGATTCATCGCATCAAAGAACTGATATGCCTCAATAGAGGACCAATTCATATTCCACTGTCCCATTCCACCAATGGCAACTCAGATGTGGCAATTGTAGGTATCCGCAGAGACTGGCGTGAGGAAGAGCTGGGGAAAACAAGCACTAGTTCATGTGCGGAGTCCAATCTGTTGTCAGGGCCATACCCAGATCGCACACCGTTGGCCCCAGGCTGAAGGCCCACAGATTGTGTAGCTGTGCTTGCTTGTTTGTCGTTTTGTCTGGCTTTGATTCTAGGATCCTGGACCTGTGGTAATACTGTATGGACAAGACGCGTTGCACAAATCAAATACTCTTCCTTTGCAGAGGTTCCTTCAAGAGAGCCATGGTATTCTAAGGGCCACAAGCAGCCAAAGCAGGTGAATGAGACGAAGGTGAGAACGGCACAGTGCCTCCGACGCGGTGCCGCTGTCTTCGCGACGGTGCGACAGGACAGCAGTAGACTGGGCCGACGAACGCGGCTCGTCAGCGGCGCCAGAAGAGCGCTTGGTGGCAAGCCAGGGCCGCTGAGCGCGGGAAAGCCCGCCGAGACGATGCTGAGATGGGCATGGTCACTGAAATGCTTGCTTCAGACAACCTGGCAGATGTTAGATTTCAGGTGCAGCCCTTCCCAAGACCCCCTCAGGCTTCGATTGATTTGATTCCATGCGAATCCTTCCAAGGAAAAACGCACACACACACACACACATCCTTCACCAGCTCATGGTTGCGAAATCGGCTGTGATACCACATGAAATCCCCTTCATATCGAAGTATGGTGATGAGAAACCCGCTTTTGGCCTCAGTTTGGGTCCCTCAGTCCCATGGACGGTTTCGGGAGTGAATGCGAGGCCGGAGGCTTCTCTGCGCTGGTGA